GCAAGACTTGCTACTCCCAGTGCTGTCCCCTGGATCCAGCTCGAGGGCAAGCAGGTGTTGTGTCTCCCCTGCCCCATCTCCAGGGACCAGTGAAATGCTGGGCTGTTTGCACAGGCACAGAACAGCCCAGCCTTCCTGCTTTGGGGTTGTGCTGGTCCACGAAGGAGGGCCACAAAGGTGATTAGAGGGATGGAGCATCTCTCTGATGAGGAAACATTGAGTTAGGGGTGTTCAGCCCCAGAAAGGAGAAGGCTCTTCCAAGGGACAGCTCAGAGCCCCTTCCAGTGCCTAAAGGGGCTCCAAGAGAGCTGGGGAGGGACTTGGGACAAGGGACTGTTGGGACAAGAGGGAAGGGCCTCGAGATAACCATTTAGATGGGATACTGGGAAGAAATTCTTCCCTGTGAGGGTGGGGAGGCCCTGGCACAGGTTGCCCAGAGAAGCTGTGGCTGCCCCATCCCTGGAAGTGTCCAAGGCCAGGTTGGACAGGGCTTGGAGAAACCAAATGGAAGGTGTCCCTGCCCATGGCATGGGGGAGGAACTGCACGGCCTTTAAAGATCCCTTCCAATACAAACCAGTCTGGGATTCTGTGGTTCTCTGATTCTCAGCTGAGGCAGGGCAGTCAAAGGGTGTTATTACATGGGTGGGATTTGATGGCTCCCTGGGACGTGCCTGCAGCCCAGGTCTGGTGCAGACTCTGCCCTTGCAGATATTTCTGTCCCTTCAGCTGCCAGCTCCAACCCAGAGCATGATCCCATGTCCTAGGAGGAGCAGCCGAAGGTGTCCTGATGGCAGGACAGGAGGACAGGGTCACCTGCACCCAGTGTCTGTACCCATTGCCACATCAGAGTCCCATGAAGGGACACTTTGGGTCTAAGGGAACCCACACAGTAGGGTGCTGGCCATGACCCCAGCCCTTGCTCTGCTCCCTGACAGATGCTTTTCTGGCAGTGAGGAAGGATGATGGATATCTGCCATGGGCTATTGCCTCATTCTGTAATGCGTGGGCGTAAAGTCATGGTCCCAGTGACATGCAGCTGCAGAGCAAATCAGGAATTCTGGGAGTCTCACCCTTCCCCATCACATGGGTGTCCCAGAAGGAGCATCTGCCTTCAATCAGTTGTACCTTGGAACAGGCTGGGGTGGCTGTGCAGGCGGAGGTGAGCACGTGCACCCGGCTGGAATCACAGCCACAGATCTGGCAGGGACCCGATGAAACACCGAAGCAGAGCCAGGATGCTGTGCTTGATTCTCTCGGGATGGAGATGTTGGGATCCCTGGCACAGCTGTGCTGCAGTGTCCCCCTAGGGACAAGCCAGAATGGAGAGCAGAGGCTCAGCCACCACTGCCCCTCCTGCACCCTGCACCAGGGAGGGCAAGCCCTCTCCATTCCACCTGGGAGCGGGGCTTTGCTCACTGTGCTTCAAATGTCAGCCACAGGCATGGAAGAGGAACACAGAGCACTGGGAAGTGCCAGGTGATGCCTCTAAGGAGTTTATTGCTGCCAAGAGGAGTTAAGTGCTGGCAACCTGGAACCTGGGATACAGGCAGCCCAGGATATGGGTAGGGCTGCAGCAATGTGGCACAGGGATGATCTGGGACAGGAGAACACCCTAAATGAGGGACCACAGAGCAAGAGGTACCAGGTGCCAGCTCACAGGTCTGAAGTGCACCAGGCACTTCCTTAGTCCAGTCAGCCCTGCATGGCCCAGTTCCCCATCCCAGTGAGAACCAGGACCCAGAGTCTTCTCCAGGTCATTACATCCTTGGTTCATCTTCCAAGGAATTGCACTGACAACAGCAGAACAGAGGGTGCAGGTCATGGGAGCTGACGGTGCCAGTCCAGGGCAGCAGGGACTCTGGCAGCAGAGCAGTGATGATCACGTGGCAGGAAAGAAAAGCAAAAAGCACAGAACGTTCGGGTTGGGGGCCCACAGTGTGGCTGTTCCTGCTGGCACATGGGATAATCGCTCTGCTGGGAGAATGGCCCTTCTTTAAGAGGGCAGCTGGGCATTCAGCCCAACCTCCAAGGGCGTGAGAAGGACATGTAGCTGGGCAGAAGAGAGAAACTACAAATAAACCTGGGTGACTGGATTCTTTCCAAACTGCATGGCTGAGGACACAAAGAATGAGATCCTGGATCCCTGGGCAGCCCAGGGCCTGGGCTTGTGTCCAGATTGAGCCCAGGCGAGGGCTCACCCCATTCTCATAAGCAGTTCCAGGCTCTGGCAGCAGGGACTCACCATGTGGTGTTATCCACCATAAATTCCTGGGGACAGGCATATTGACCCCATGGTGTTGCACCTGGGTTTGACAACATCCAGAGTGGAGAGGATGCAGCAGATGACAGATGACAGAAGTTGCCCTGGCTGGGGACAGCAGAGCCCTGCTCCAGCTGTTCCCAGTGTAACTGCAGCTTCACACAGTGGTTTCCAGGTATTAACAGAGCCCCAGAGGCACTGTCACAGATTTGTGCAAACCCAGTTCCAGTAGGAACAGAGCCTGAAGAAAAGGGAAGGTGTTCACTCGTGTCACCCACCATACACATCGCTTACAGACCTGGCCCCAAACCCAGGTCTCGTGGCTCCTGAATCACTTCAGGGCTGCCAGCCCCGCAGTTAAGGGTGCTGAAATGGACACAGCCCAGATCCAGAAACAGCATGGCCAGGCCAAGGTGACAGCTTCAGGTTAGCCCTGCAGCTCTCAGGGCACCCCAGTCCCAGCAGGCCCATGGCAGTGCTGGCACTCCCAGCACTCCCTGGTAATCTGCAGCAGCCCCACAGGAGGTGAGCTGGGGGACAGGGCTGCTGGTCAGGACCAGGAGGACAATCCCAGGCTCCACAGAGAGCAGCCTGGAGTGGGAACCATGGACCTCTTTTTCCTTTCTAAGTTCTTATGGGCTCCTCATCCAAGCAAAGGCATGAAATCAGAACTGAGGGCAATTACCACTACCCTCCCTGCCCCAGCTGGAACTCGTGGCTGTCCTTAGAGGCACCTGAAAGAGGCCACGTCAGAGATTTCTCTCCAGCTGTGGGACAATTGGCTGGAGTCTCCCTCCTGGGTCCTTCCCAAAAAGGGGTCTCAACCCTGGAGGAGGCTCTGCAGGGTGCAGAGGTCACTCCACAGCCTGGGCAAGGAGGGTGCTCCTGACCAGTGCAGAGCCCCAGGTTCACCCCACATTGGTGTTGCCACCTCGGCATAGGGCAGAGGAACACGTGCCACAGCATGCCATGCCACTGAGGTCCCCTCTTTCTGCCCCGGAGGGAAAGACTCACTGCAGAGCACCAGCCACTGCTGCCACCACCGCGTGGCATCTCCAAGGAAGGGCACGCTGAAGCAAAGAGGTTGTGAACTGCACCAGCACCACCTGAGGAGTGCAAGCCTCTAGAACAGCTTCTAGAAGAGCAGACAGGTGAGGCTACAGAACTCACAGTGGGGCAGGTGGCTTCAAGACCCCATCCCTTAGCAGGGGACAGGGGGTCCCCAGTCCCTGGGAAGCCCAGAGGGGATGGGAAAGGACATGGGAACAAGCCCAGGAGCAGAGAGGCCTGGGTTCCTTGTGCTCACCAGACAGACCATGCAACTTCAGCTTACTCCACATCCCAAGGGACAGAACAGTCATGGCCTTCAGGGCTGGTAGCACTAGATGGACTGATCTGGGCAGAGAGACAAAAGGTTACAATAAATAGTTCACCCCACTTTATTATCCCTACAGACAGGTGACTCTCCTCATAAAGAGAGTTGCTTTTAATTAAACCTTAGGCAAAACAGGCACTGGATACCAAGGTGGCATCACAAAAGGGATGGCAGGCACTGATGCCAAGGAGACAACTTACACCCTTCTCCTGCAGGCAAGGGATATGACTGGCCATGGCCTTTCTCTTCCTCTTTCACCCTCTCCCTAGCACTCTGCTGATCCCCATTCCACCTGCAGGCACCAGAGCAGAACAGGGATTCATGCCTTGCAGCGAGCTTTAGGTCACGATCATCCTCAAAGAGCATAGCTGGAAGGGACAGAGAGCACCAAACAGACAAAAACAGGAGTGAGAACAGAACTGGTCTGCATGGTGCCAGCCCAGGGAAAGGATAGCACCTTCTGCCCAGCTCAGTGCTACAGCATGTCAGAGCTTGGAACAACCCTGGAGAGAAAACTCCTGGTCTTGGGGGTAGGGAGGGCCAGGAGCCATGAGGGTTCACAGGGATCTTCAGTTGAAGTAGCATGGCTACCAAGTACTGAGCCATAGTTGAACACCACAGCTCAAGAATTGCCACTGAGCTGGTTGGGCAGCAGGAGGAGTCCTAAGATGCACCATCTAATAGGACTCATCTTAGACAACCATCATCCCACAAAAGAGCTGCAGAGAAGTGCAGCTCACACTCAGGATGTCACCCCAGGAAGTAGCATCCACCACAAAGGACAGGCAGAGCAGCCATTTGATGGAGCTTCTGCTCCATCACCCACGCTCAGTTAAATACAAAACTGAGGCCAAAGCCCCTCTGTGAGGTCAAGACGATGTGAGCATCCTAAGGCTATGGGACATGACCTCTCCGTTTTACAGTCATCATGAAAAGAATCTAATCCTGGCAGCCATCAGGAAACATTTGCTAGGTCAAGCCAAGTAAAGGGTGAGGTGTCTGCCTCAACCTGTCAACAACCTGAAACAGCAGCTCATGAGACTTATGGCTCAATCCCTACAGGAGCCTGCAGATGTGTAAAAAGCGACTATGGCATCACTACCTCAAATGGGATAGAGGGATGCCAGGAGAAGCACCAGCTTGGGCGTTGCCTGGCCAGGGAAGCATCTCTGGCAGGCAGAATGCAGGCAGAAGAGAGGGCATGACCCGTTGGATTTCCCATCTTGTCTTCCAACAGCAGGACAAGCAGGGGCAAGGCACCGTCCGAAGGCCAGGCTTGCCTGCAGATGGTGGCTGCAGTGTTGAAGATGCATCACCTTTTCCCAAGAGCAGCCAAAATCCAGCCTAAGTCAGGCCAAGAACACAGCAGCTACCCCTGCACAGGCCAGCAGCCACGTCTCCTGCACACTGGGACTGTGGGGCTGGGGAGAGAGTCCCTGCACCCATTTAGAGACAGAAGAGGAGCAGCTTGAGAGCAGCACAACTGGAAAGCAGCAGGGCAGGGATGCTCCCCAGGTGGAGTCCCAGCTTCCTCCTGCAGAGATGCCAGCAGCAGTCCCAGACCCTGAGATACAACACCTGGAGCAACACGCGTGATGGGTTTGGGGCCAGAGTCCCTCGAAAGCCCCGGGGCAGCTCGATGGTAGGGAGGGGGAGGCAGGCACTAGATGAAGGTGGAGTCCAGCTGGCTCATCTCATGGTTGTTGCGGGCATGAGCCTCAAAGAGCTGCTTGATAAGGGCAGATTTCTCCTGCTCCAGCTGGGTGATGCGCTCGCTCTTGTCAGTCACCTCCTGCAGGAGACAGGAGGAAAATGCAGTTCAGAGGAGGAAAATGCTGGCAACTGCTGCATTGCAGGTAAGATGTCCTAGAACCAGAGAATCACAGGCTGGTTTGGGTGGGAAGACCTTAGAGCTCATCTCATTCCACCCCCTGCCATGGGCAGGGACACCTTCCACCAGCCCAGGGTGCTCCGAGCCCCGTCCAACCTGGCCTTGGACACTTCCAGGGATGGGGCAGCCACAGCTTCTCTGGGCAACCTGTGCCAGGGCCTCCCCACCCTCACGACCAAGAATTCTTTCCCAGTATCCCATCTAACCCTGTCCTCTGGCAGTGTGAAGCCATTCCCCCTTCTCCTGCCCCTCCAGTCCCTTGTCCCAAGTCCCTCTCCAGCTCTCTTGGAGACCTTTCAGGTACTGGAAGGAGCTCCAAGCTCTCCCTGGAGCCTTCTCTTCTCCAGGTGAACAGAGCAAAAGGGCTCCAGCCCTGGGAGCATCTCTGTGGCCATGTGCTGGGACAGGAACCCCAGCCTGGCCCTGGTGGGGACACCATGGGCATCCTTTCCCCATCAGCCCTGTTTGCAGACCCCAGTTGCAGTCTCTTCACCCTCTTGTGACCTGCATTTGTCACAGTCTTTTCCCTCTGGCAGGAATGCCCCATCTCTGCCTGTTGCCTCACCTAGCAGACAGATGGACACAGCTGGGCACAGCTGCATGCCAGAGGGTCTCTAGGTGCAGCCCACACCCCCTTCTCCAGGATGACCAAGGCTGGCTAAGCTGAAGGAACACTTCCCATTGCCTAGCATTCCTTTCCTGGCCCTATCCCCCCTTCCTTTCCCAGCATCCCTAAGGGCACCCCTCCCACCTGTATCCCCACTCACCTTGGTGAGAAGCCGATTCTGCTCCTTCAGCATGTTGATGGCTTGCTGGGAGCCTGTGGAGGCTGGGGACACTGTGGGGACCAGCCTGCTCAGGGCTGAGGAGGGGTTTGCTGGCTGCAGAGAAGGGGAAGGGATCAGACATTGAGCCTCCTCTGCTGTGGCCCTTCCCAGCCTTTCTTCAAGGCTTGAAGCTCTTTCTGTGGCACACAAGGAACTGAGAGAAGCCCAGCAGAGGATTAAAATCCCAGCACGGGCCATTGCAGGGTCTCCACCACACCAGGTGGAGGGGAGGAGCATTCCTGCCAGAGTGCCTGGCTCCTGCCAGGAGCCCGGCGGGACAGCCAGCTGAGGTAGCAAATTCAGCACTTCAGCAGGTTGGGTTTCTTATTCACTTGACAATGGCTATACCTTTTTGAGGATCTCCTTTACTCCCTCAAATGCCTTGACCATCTTCCAGTCCAGCTCAGGACCAGCAGTGCTGTCCTCCTGGCTGTCCCCCATCACCTGTCTTGCTAATGGAGCCAAGTCACCTTTTCAGAGCTGGGGGAAACTCTGGCAGCTCCAATGCCAGCCCCTAGCAGCATGGGGAGGGACAGGATGGGTCCTAAGGTCACACAAACAACTTCAAGCTGCTGATTGCTGTTCTCACCTTGCCAGTGGTGGAAAGGAATTCACCAAGGCAGCGGTTCACCTCCTGCAGCTTGGGGATCAGGTGCCCCATGTGGCTCCAGCCACCCTCAGGGAAATCCTGTGGGATGAGAGGAAGAAGAGGCTGGGGTAACAATGGGGTTGGCTCCACGTCAAGCCAAGTCCCAGCCCAGTTCTCCAAATCCACAGAGCAGCCCCACCTCCTCCCAAGCAGCCAGGCATCACAAGAACAAGCCCCAGACTCACAGCACTGCTTTTCTTCTTCCCCAGGAGCCGCTGATGCTCCTGCATGAGCTGGATGTGCTGATGGTACCAGTCCCGAGCCTGGTCTATGAGCTCCAGGCCGTGCAGCAGGAAATCCTTCTCCTGTTCCAGCTCTTTCATGTACTTCAGCTGCAGGACAGAGCACAGGGATGTCACCAACTCCCCACCAAGGCCTTGTTGATTCCCAGGAGCTGATTTCTTCATGAGGTGTGGAGGGATGTGGGTATGGGCAGGGGTCTTACCCCCTCTCCTCATGAGAAGCCATAGGGGAGTGGGATGATGGCTGCTGCCTGATGCTGCTTTGGAGGACAAGTTTTGGAGGAAGAGTTCTCCAGTTTGAGAGAACAACCTAAACAGGTGACGGACACTCAGATCATCTCCACCCTCCTGCTCCCCTTTGCAGAAGCCAGTTTCTTCACCTCTTATTTACCCAGGGAGGCAGCAGGAGAAGCCACCCCAGTTCCCTTCAGGGTATGAGCGTCAGCCCCAGCACAGACACACTTGGATTTTGGCAAGCGGTGAACAGCCCAGCTCACTGGGCAGGATGCGATCTGGGGAAAACCTCCAGTCCTGTTTCCCCACTCTGCTTCACCCCCCAAAGTACATTGAGCTGTGCACAGCAAAGCAGAGCACATCTCTCTGCTGAGTGTCTCTACCAGTCACTCAGGTTCCAGCACCAGCAATCATCTGGAAAGGCAGTGGAGACCCTGATATGCCTGGAGAGCTGCTACATGAGTGCCTGGGGTCCTTGCCTCCAGAGTAACCCCCTGGGACAGGGTGAGCAGAATCCTGTGCCTGGCTGCAACACAGCCAAGGCTGCTGGAGAACAGGGGGGCTCAGCTGGCACCCACAGGGACACAGGGTCCCCATTCCACTACCACCTTCTGCTTCTACTTCCCCTCAGCACCACTTTGACACCAGCAATCACAGAGGTGGAGAGGGAAGAAGGGACATCCCCAGGGAACAGAGTACTGGTGCAACGACCCATTCACCACTCTCACCCTGTGAGCCCAAGGGCGCTGCTCCCCTTCTCCATGTCAGGCTGCTCCCCCAGCTCCTGGTCCCATCTCCAAGCCAAGGGCATGGGGAGCTGCCTGCCTTGCTGCCTCTGCCTTCTTTGCCACAACACAGCCTGGCCTTCACCCACAGCACAGGCTGGGCTCCAGAGTGTCTTCTGCTCATTCCACACCTGCCACACAATACACTGGGGTTGCTCTTGCCCCCACTACTCCTGGAAACATTGTTTGCAACATGAGAGTCTCCCTGCTCACTTCCCCAATGGCCCCAAGGGACATACCCAGAGGAAGAAGTGCAGAGCCTTGATGCTATGGAGGCTGTTCCTGAGGGGCACAAAGAAGATGCTGCGTGTGGCAAGGACCCCCACCCAGCTGGGGGTGCAGCCACCTGCTCTGCCCTGTTCCCACTGGCTCCTCTGGCCACCAGCACGGTGACCAGAGGAAGAGGTAACATCCCACAGGGCAGAGGGAAATTGCCAGTCCTGCCTGGTGCGGGGACAGATGGCATCTCACAAGGATGGGGAAGACGAAGGAGGAGGAAGACAAAGAACTGGACTTGGCTGGTGCTACCTGGGGTTAAGGGGAGGGGATAGAACTGTGCCCTGCACAGTCTACAAATGACAGTGCTCAGCGTCTCATGGAAGGTCTCATCCCAGCCACCCTCGTGGCTAAGGGGCAATCAAATCAATCAGTGAGGGACTGGCTGGAAAACACCAGCTGATGAGTAGGGACCAGCTGTGGCAGTGCAAAGGGTCCTGGGGCTACAGCACAGCCCCCACAGCTCCACTCCCTGCTCAGGAGGAACCAGTCCTGGTGCACTTTGGGATGTAGGATGGACACAAGCGCTCCCATCCTCCATGGGCTATACATAAATAAGTTTATTGACAGTTCCTTGTCCCTTGGGGGCCCAGCATCCTCCCACCATTGGGGCAGGGAGGGGTGGAGGAGGTGGCAGCATAAGGATTCAGTCCTTACTGGACTCAAACCTGTTCCCTGTAGGCTAACAAATGGGACAAGTGCCCAAAGGCCCAGGGTGTCAGGAAAGCCTGAGACAGGGACAGACACCACTTCTCTGGGCTTAGAAGCACAGAAACACAGTGCAGCTTTCGGGTATGTGGGGAGGGGATAAAAAAATGCAGAGGACACCTCTCCCACTGCCCCTACAACTTGGGAAAATAGAGACCAGGGCAACACAAGCCCACAGCAAGAGCACTTGTGGCAGAGATGGGGACAGACACAGTGCCACAGCAGTGATGGGCTCTAGCCCTGAGCTGCATGCACAGAAAAGAGCCTTGCCAGGGAAGCAGGGACCTTTCCCTCTCCAAACAGCAACTTCCAGTCACCCAAAACCCTTGAGAAACAAAAGCCCTCGATCCCAGACATTCATTTATCACTCCTTATCAGCACCTTTCAGCAGAGACTGCTTGGCCCAATGGGGACCCTGGCCCTTGCAAGGCTGCAAGCCCAACAAACCATGTTCACAAACGCCCCCTCTCAGGCTGGCATCGGGGCATGTTTTGTCCCTCAAGACCAGTGCAAGGCTGGGCACTGCCACTCAGGCCTGCTGGGCTGCAGGAGCAGGATGACACCAGGGTGCAAGGGGTGGAAGTGCAATGGTGACAGTCTCACCAAGCACTCATTCTGCAGGCTTGGTCCTGGCTCTCTTCCCAGGACAATTTAGCTTGAGCCTGTGGGCAACATGCCCAGGCAGCACCTCCAGTGCAGATCCCTTCACCCAGGCATCTGATCCAAGCCTCTCTACTCAGGGGCAGAGAGAAGGAAGCAGATGCCTCCATCCTGGACTGCCTGGCTAAATTCACTGTGGATTTCTCTGCTTTGCTGGCAAAAAGTCTCTTGGGAGCCAGGAGGATCAATATGCCTCAGCCCTGACCTGCAGGGAACATCTGGAAGGGGACACAGCCTGGCCCCACCACTTGCCAGAGCAGAGTACCTGACCCTCACTGGGATGCTTGAAAGGCCCAGAGATCCACCTGTTGCCACACCCCCACCTTTGCCTTTCCCTGCCCAAGACCTTGCCCACAGGGAAGGCAGCCATGCAGTCAAATGCTAGCTCCATGGGCTGACCCCGCTACAGGGAAAGGCACGCACCTCCTCCCTGTCAGGCATGATTTCTGGCGAGGACAGAAAGAGCCATGGAAGTTAGGGCAGAACCTCCACATACATCAACAGAGCTTTGTATCCAAAATATCAGGATCTGCCCAACGTCCCATGGCTCACATGTGCAGGTGGGCAGCGGGGGAGCCACAGCCCAGAGATGGTGTCAGCACTGAGGGACCCCTGCAATCCACCTTCTCCACCATGGGAGCCCGTGACAGGGCTGTCCCTTACCGTGCTGAAGTCCACGCCGTTGGTGATGGTGTGTCTCCGGTGTTCTGCACGGCCCCTCTGATGCCTCCGAGTGTCCCCAGCCCCCGGGTGGCCACCATCCCCCTGGGACTGCCCAGCAGACTTCGCATCACCACCTGGAACAGAGGAAGGCATGAGGCCACCAGCCACTTTCAACAAAAACCTCCCCAGGGTCACTTCTGTGGGATGATCTGCAGGGTGGTCTTGTAAACAGGGAGAGGCTGAGCAAAGCACTAGCCTGAGTGCCCGCTCCCACCCTTATCCAGGCAGGACAGGCTTCAGGAATGACTGACTCAGCTGTGCCAGGCTGGCAGCACACCTCAGTGTCATCTTTTGCAGAGAGCAAGTGATAGGAAAATAGAATCTTTACTCAAGGTATCCTGGAATGCCCAAATAAGAAACAATATAAATCTCAGAGAATTAGATAAGGGATGTACTCAAACAAACAGGATGTAAACTAAGCTCTGTGTACCCAAACAAGATAAAGAACAAATGTTACAGATTTTGGTGGTGAAACACAATAATGCTGTGCCTGCTCAAGACCTGAGGTCAAGACAGTGAAGAAGATCCAGAAGGACCAAAGAAGGACTTCCAATATGGCTTTGATTATGTAAAGCAAACTAATGAATATGCATTAAGTGAGAATATCTGACGCATATATAAACAGTATGTGTAATAAAAAGCTCTGTTCATCTGTTGTTTGATTAGAGGAGCTCTCCTCTGAACGTCCAGTGCTGAATAAAGAAAAATGCCCTTTGTAATGTCTACAAAGTTTGTTTCTGCTGCTTTTCGGTATCACAAGCAGCTTCCAGGCAAAGCTGGTCCAGTCAGTGATATTGCTGGCCCTCATGGGACACCTGGCTCCCACTCAGGTGGCACTGGCTCTGCCAGGAACCCAGCTTCACCTGAAGGCACTTCTGCTTGGTGATGGACTTGGCCATGTGGACATCCCCCCAGACTGCACACCTGTGATGTAACCACAGAGTAAATCAGGCTGTCATTTTTTCAAAATTTTATTAAAACCCCAACATCCTATCCTGCAAAAGACTAATCTACTACAAACACATGGTGCTGATGCAAATCCATGCATAACCTATTTTTGCAGATTAAGTGCATACTGGCAGGTTCCAGACTGGATCAGACACCTCCTGCCTGTTAGCCGGGGCAGGAACTCCCTGGGCACCTGCACTGAAGTCTGTACAAGCCCTGCACCACCTGCCCTCACCAGAAACCCAGCCCTGTAGCCACAGCCAAACCAGCTCTGATTCGCCTCTGGCTGAGCTGGCAGAGTAGCACTCTGAAACCCTACTGCCCCAAACCATAGCACCAGGGCAGGCAGGGCTGCAGCCAGCACCTTCCCAGGCGTGCCTGGGCACCAGCCTGCTGCTCCTCCTTTCCTGGCCCAGCACACCCTGCCTCATGCTACCCCCTCAGTCCTGCAGCTTGCCCGCTCCCTGCACAGAAGTCTCCTCAAGAGTGCTTTTCCCAACCTGGCTTTTCAACATCAGGGAGCTGGCAAATGATGGCAGGCAGCTGGGGAAGATACGCCCTCCTCGGGACTGCTCCCCGTGCATCTGCCATCCATCGCACATCCTCCTCCCATGGCTGGGCACGTGCTGGCTCCTGGGTACCAGAGCTACCTGGCTCAGGTCTGGCACTTTCCCTGCTGCAGGCACATGAAGGGCTGTTATTGCCAGGACAGGGTGCATGGCATCATCTGACCTGGCACATTGCTTCCTTCTGCTCCATGAGTTTCCTCAGCCAAGCACACGGACACGATGGAGCTGGGATATGGGACAAGGGAGAGCAGCCATGGCCAAAGGAGCCACCCTTCATTTTAAGGCAACAAGATCTGGGAGAGCTGCACTGTGCCAGGGCTGCCTGTGCTGCCACATTCACACCAGTTCAGTGGTAGGAACCAGACTCAGGCTGAGGGGACAGCAGGCAACGTGACAGCTTTGTGTCACTGGAGAAAGAAGGCACCATGCCATGGGAAAAGTCCTCCTTCTGGTCCATCACAGCATCCTGCTCCACCTCCCAGCAAATACTCTGGCACAGGCAGGTCTCCAGCACATCAATATACACAGTCTTTGATATCACCCATCCGTGTGCTTTGCCAACTGCCTTTGGTTTCATACACCCAAATCGACCTGGGAGGAACCCAGCAAGACTGGTGTGACCATGTGTGTGTTCTCCTAGCAGACCTGTAGCACATCCTGCTCAGAACACGGAGAAACAGCCCCAAATCAAGGTTACCTTCAACATGCAAACTCCCAAGGCAAAGCCAGGAACGCTTCTGGTAGGAGTTGCAGGCCAGACATGTGTTAAAAGCTTTTTGCTGCTGTTACCTGGAAGTGCCAGGGGTTGAGCTGAGCTGAACCTGTGATAAGCAGGAGCTCCTGGTCAAACACTCAAGCTCTGCGCACCTGAACTGACAAGATAGTGGCTAAAAATGGATTCCTGCTAATGAGCTTGGATAGTTCTTCTTAGGAAAAGAGCAGGACCAGATCAGCAGAGTAGAAGAGATCCTGACATGAGATAAGGGACAGCCTTCTCCCTCTGGGAGCCTCCCTGCCCAAGACAAGCAGACACCTCATGGTTGTTTTCCACACTTGCCCTTGGCAATGACCCAGATAAGCCCCTACAAACAGTCTCATCCTTCCTGTCAGTGCCACCAGCTCTCCAGGGAGCTGCTAGAGCCCGGCCACCCCTGGAGCCAGGAGTAAGTGCAGTGCTGGGGAGGAGGCAGTGCCCAGGGCCATCACACACCTCCTGGGCAAGGCACTTTCTGCTCTGTGCCTTGACTTCCCCAGGTCTCAGCTCACAGGGGAACCACAGGGATAAAGACCCCCAGGAGTGACACACTCGGACACTGCTGTGACAAGGCACCAGTTGGCACCATCACAGTGACTTCCCCAATATCCACCTCACCATCCTTGTGCCTAGAGGGTGCTGTTGGTTCCCCAGGGGCACCCAGCAGAAGCTTGTGGGCTGCCTGAGCACTGCTGGGCTGAGGAGAAGCTGGAAGGTGACTTAAGAAGGGACTTCTTCAGAAGTGCTTCAGCCCACACACTAGCAGAACTTAGTGAGAGAAAGGGCATTGTTGTCCACTGGCTCATTACACCCCTGGACACGCCAGGAGAGTCATATGGCCCCAACCTCTGCCATTTTGCCGTGAGTCACATCCAAATCACCTTTGACCCCAGATCATAAAGCAGAGCTGGGGAGGCATCCTGTGAGCACCCCCTTTACCCAAATCATAGGCAGGGAGAGCTTCCTCTGACTCATTACATCCTCTCACTGCGCTTAGTTGGGTTCTTACAGAAGCCACCACGTAGCTGGAGGCTCAGAGCAGCCTAGCACCCAAACAATATAATCTTAGTGGAGACAGAGCTTCCTGGAGGCACAGGAGCTCCCAGCACACTTCTTTGGAGTGTGATGGAGCTGTGTCCTGACACAACATTGCCCAGCTCCCTCACAGCCAGCTGAGAATATCCACCCGTTCAACCACACCCTGGGAAACCTTCCAGTGCTCCCTTGGAGCACTGGGCAGTTGTGCAGGAGTTAAAAGAGATGGAGTAACTCTGAGCTGTAAAATTTTCTAAGCTGATGAATCAATTTGAAACTCAGGCCTCTTGCCAGAATATGACCCTGCAGCTTGGGAAGCTGGCATCAAGGGCTGAGGCACTAACCCTGTCTACAGGCTCCAGACAGCTGTGGAACATCAGCCTATAAGGAAAAGATCCTCAGCAAGCAGAAAGCTGCTGCAGTCATCTTCTTGTTCCTTCCCAGGATAGAGTTTTCAATCTGCTATCTATTCACCAAGCAAGATTTTTTGCAGGTTTTTCCAGATTTACACTCTTGATGATAGAAGAGTCAGCCTGCTTAATAATATTCCCTTAGATGAAGCTCCAGTGATTAGTCTGGAGGCAAAATGGAAAGCAGAGAACCTCAGCCACAGATAAAGTTTCTTCTCCACCCAGCAGAAGGGACTGGAAGGGTGTGGGCAGGAAGAGAAGGCAAACCAGCCCAACATTCCCAAGGTGGAGGAAGTCCATCTCATAGCACTGAGGTCGTGCAATAACGAACACTAGGTCCTCACACAGACCTTTGTGTCCTCAGATCTCAAAGCACTTCACAAACCCAGATAAAGAATTATTACCTATCCAGATAAGCCCAGAAACCTGGTTTCCTTATAACATCTCCTACTGACTAGCAACAAATCAAGATGCTAATGAAACGGTCTTTCCTGTGCCAAGGTCAGCATACCACCCCAGAGGGCTCTGGTAGAGCCACACAGGGCCCTCAGGTACCAAGGAAGGGGAAGAGTCCATAGGGACCTGCAGGTGAGCTCTGCAGCCAGAGCCCGGGACAGCAAAGCATGTTGCCCTGGTGCCACTTTCTCATTTATTCATTGCTTAATTATTTGTTATTGGGAATAGTGTTGCAGAATAATCCAAACCAAAAAGCTGGACCAGGTTTTGCAATTTTTATTGCACATGCATGACATTGTGAAAGAATCCTTCCTGAGGGCCACCCCAGCCCAGAGCCCACCAGAGCACACGGCTACTCCGTAACCACAAACCTCACCCCGTCAAGGTTGCTCGGGGGGTCCACAGGTCCCAGCCATCCTGAGACGCCCAGCCGTGTCACTCATCCCCGGGAAAGGTCAGGACAGACTCTACGCCCGGGGACAACCACGGACACGTTATAGCAAAGCCCTTAATTCCTTCTGTCAGCGCTATAAAGAGCCCAGCGCCTCGCGAAGGGAGCACAGCCCTGGGCGGGCGGCGGCGTCGGGATATCCACACCGGGACCGGAGCCCAGCAAAGCCCAACTGAGCATGGCAATAACTTAGGCGGAGTTTCACACTGGCTCTGCGGGAAGCGCTGGCTCTAGCCCAGAGGAGAGCACGAGGGACCAGGACGAACCACTAGATCCCAGCCGACCTCCGGGCGCCAGTCCCCGGTCCCGGCGCTGCCATCAACCCCGCGAGCCCGGAGCCCCCGGCACTCACCGCGGCCTCGGGGCTGGCTGTGCCCCGGTTCCCGCTGCCCGGTGCTCTTTCCTCGTCGCTCCTCGGAACAGCGAGGGCTCGGCGGCTTCTCCACGCTCCGCTGCCCGCCGCTGCCGCCCTCAGCCGGGGGCTCAGCCCCGGGCAGGGCCGCCCGCAGACCCAGGACGAACCTCTCGAAGGTGAGGTACCCGCTGGCCGGTGCCGCCTGCCGCAACCCCTCCATCACCCCGGCGGGCAGCTCCTGGGCTTCTGCACCCCGCCAGCGCGACTCGATCTCCCGGAGGTGCACGTAACCCCGCCGCCGGTCATCCAGGATATCGAAAAGCGTCCGCAAGCTCTGCAGGAAAGCCCTCGGAAGCCCCTCGGTCCCGGCGGAGAGCGAGCGATCGCCGCGCTCCGGAGCCATCGCCGCCGAGCGTTACCCCGGCCCGGCCCCGCGCGCCTATTGGCCAGGGCCGGGATGTGCCGAGCTCTCATTGGCTGGCGGTGGGCGCTCCCTCCGGCCATTGGCTGAGAGGGAGGACGGCGGTTTGAGTTCCACGCGGCGCCCGCCCCGCTCGCGGCCGAGGGGCGGCGGGGGGGCCCGGTCCCTTTCTCTGCCGCGAGCGAGCAGGACTCAGGGAGATGTTTATTCCTCCATGCCTCGGTTACCCGGGACCCTGCACCCCGAGAAGAGCCGCTCTGGTTGGTGTCCATCCATCCATCCAGGCACAAATCCTGGTTTCTTTTCAAGCAGAGACCTGAAGAGGTCTCAAGAAGAGACCTGTCGTAGTTTAACCCCAGCCAGCAACTAAGCACCACACAGCCTCGCTCACTCCTGGTGGTATGGGGGAGAGAAGGGAAGGGTAAAAGTGGGAAAATCATGGGTTGAGATGAAGACACTTTAATGGGGAAAACAAAAGCCCCCCCCCCCCCACCCACCCACCCACACACACACACAAAGGAAAACTAGGAATTCATTCACTGTTTCCCATGGGCAGGCAGGTGTGCAACCTTCCCAGGAAAGCAGGACTCCATCCTGTTTAACAGTTACTGGGGCAGACAAACCCCAGACCCTTCCTCTTTCTCCCCCCCCGGTTTATACAATGAATGTGATGCCATATGGTCCAGAATATCCCTTGGGTCAGCTGTCCAAGCTGTGTACACTCCCAATTGCTTATGCACCCACAGCCCCTACACTGGTGGGTTCAGATGGGAAGCAGAAAAGACCTTGGCTCTATGCAAACACCAGTCAGCAACAAAAAAACATCTCTGTATTATCAGCACCATTTTCAGCACAAATCCAAAACCTATCCCCATAACTCTACCCTGCCAAAACTAGCACAAATCCTAGAGACTTCTAAGCCAATGTAAAAAAAAATGCCCAACTGTGGCATTCACCCTCATCACCATTCTCTCACACACCCCAGAAGTGTCAGTCAATGCAGCATCCTTATAGAAGAGGGATGTGAAGCACCAGCATGGTGTTGCCCTTGCCTGGTACATGGGGGAAGTGAGTGCTGACAGAAGGAATTGAGTCTCATCATCCCAGTGCTGTGGCTGGTGAGGCACCAGTGGCCATCAACCAGCAGGAGCTGGGATAGGGGCTTAAAGGAGCCACAGACAAGAATAAAGGGGGAAAAAAAACCCTTCAGTATTGACAAATGTAAGAGAAACAGGATTTGGGTCTTATATTTTATAAACTTATGTACTGGAGTTGGTAGGAGAAAGAGTTTCTCTACTTTATAGGGAAATTTGCTCCATCTGTTAGATGCAGTGGTATGTTCAAGATGCAGCATCCTAGTGCAAGATGCTGCCTCCTCTGCAAAACCTCTCCATCAGACAGTGTGTCCTGCTCCAGCTGGTCTCTGTGCTGTGGCTGAACTCTTCACAGACTGCTTTTCTTTAACTCATTTCTTTTCATAAATTTCCTGGACCTGTTGTACCTGTTTGAGATCTCTGCTTGGCTTAGCTGTATTTGACTAAACAAGTTCACACCTGCGCAGGATACAAGGAGAAGGAACCAGTGCTGCATCCCTCCCCTTCCTATTCCAGAAACTAGGCAGTCAGTGTGGTGCTGCCCAGCTCTGGTAGCATCAGCACATGGGCTGTTTTGATCAGCAAAGGCTAGATCTGCAAACAAAAGGGGTTTTCTCTGGGTTCCTCCTCCCGTTCTGGTCTTGCAGGAGCAGCCAGGAATAACAGAAGGAATTCAGAGTGATCATAATGTTTTGTGTCCAATTTCCCTGCCTAACCAGTGTATCCCACCAGGAAAGTGATCCAGAGATATCAGAAACAGTTCCTGGCATTGACTATATCTGCTGTTTCAGCCAAAATACTCTTGCTGTCCGTGTGGAGCTTCCTGCTCCAGCACAAGGAGCTGGGACACAACTGCCTAGAGGGCAGCTCTGCTCTTACTGCGTTTTTCATACCAAAGTGCCCTCAAGAAGCTGCCTTGAGACAGGCTGATGTTTTCATCCTCAGTGTGTAGAGTGGCTGAGGTTAGAGAGATTTTGAATATTCTTGGAAAAGACTTCTTGCGATCTGTTTTTTTTATGGCGGGGGTGGGCAGCAGGGTATTTTCTCTCACTTTATCTTGGGGCCAACCCAGACCTCTGATGGACAGAGACTTCCTTGTTTTCTTAAATATAAAAAGCATAGTTATTCAGTTCTCCTTCCTCCAAGCTACTGGGAAGTGCCAGCTGCCATTCAGACCTGGCCTAGCCCTCCGTCTCTGCTGTCCTATGGGCATCAGCAATGACATGCATGGGTTTGGTGCATTGACACCAAACATATCACTGCCCCTCTCTGGAGAGGGCACCTGATGTCCCCTGGGAGGCTGGTGGCAGGTCAGCATGTCCTACCAACCAGCATTGCCACCTCTGTGAAGAGAGGTCACAGAATTTGCACCAAACCCCAGCAGATCACTGGAGGAACGGCATGCTGGTGATGGGGCACCTTCCTAAATGGCATGAACCATCAGTGGGTGCTGATGGGTGACTGTGGCAGTAGCTTGAGCCTCGTGCTGTCTTCAGTGGCCTGTAGGTGTTCCCATGTAAATCTTGATTATGCAGAGAACACATGGTGACTTAGAGCCATGAGGTTGTCTCCTGGTGACCATGTCCAAACAGATGCTGTGAACCTCCACTGCTCTTTCTGGGGAGAGCAAGGTCTGGTGGGGAACCAGCCACAGATCTGTGGGCTCAGTGTGTGCATATTGTTGCCTGGCACATGGAACAGCTGGCACCGCTGCCAGCCCAGACAATGCTGCATCGAGAGTGGGTTTGTCCCCCGCCAGTGCAGGTCGCCAAACTGTACCCAGGAATGGTTAGTCAGAGCTTGGTTGAAACCAGACCAGGAGCTGTGTCCACAACAGTTCAGACCAAGTCCTGGTATGTCCCATCACTGAAAAATTCATTAAGTCCCAAAGCTGGCGGGTGCAGGGAATTACTTTCAGTGGGGTACCAAAGTGTCAACCCAGAAATGTATCTGGCCCAGATAAACCTCTGGGAAAAGGCTAAAAATAGTGAGGAGAGTATGGTTGGAGAGGTTTCCTTTTGGGTAGGGATATCGTCTTTGATCTCTTCATCACTGCAATGACATTGTGTTTTCCATCTTGTTGCAATAGGGCCTCTTGGAGACATGCTGTGTTTTCTTTGGTGGGGGCCAGGCACTTGCCATGAAGTGACTTTTCTCTCCTCCAAACTGTTTTTTTCTCCCAGAAGGCCAAAAAGCAGGAAGTCTGGTAGATGTTTGGTGACTCACAGGCTGTCACAAGGGCTGGTAGAAGGGCAGTTGGTGAGAAGCTGAAATAAGCTGTCTGTGGGGGTGGTGGGTTTTTTGCTCGCCTGGGTTCACAGAGCAAGAACGGGTGTTAGCAGGAAATGGTAGTCACTGTGTCCTATTTCACTATCTCACCCCTCCTGGGATCTTAGCACAGCTGTTTTAAATACAGGAAACTATCTGGGGCTTAAATGGAAGTATGATAGATACTGTAGGGTTTCTGATTGGAATCCATCTAGCAACTGGTTTATCTTATCATAAATTTCACTCTCCTGATGATGATAAAACCAGGATCAATGAAGGACAACAGCAGTCACAGCTGTATCACAGCCAGAAATTCCCGTCTGTCATCTTATTCGGGGAATGATTGTAAAACCATATTTCTTTGGGGAATGCACTGGAGAGTACATATGTGTTGAAGCCTGGAGCAAGGCCCTAAACACAAGAAGCTCTGCCTCTCTCCTGCTGGGATACCTCACCCCGACAGAGTGCTATGCACTCTCTTTGATGTCAGGGTGATGGAGCTTTTCTCCCTGCTGAATTTCCTGTTCTACCTGCATGTTTTTGTTTTGCTTGGCCCAAGCATCCCTCCGTCCTGCTCGCTCAGGTTTTCCTGCCTGGTGTAACTGATCCAACCTGTTATCATTTTTATTGTTTTGCAGAAGAAAATATCTACACATACACTGCCATGGGTTGTGGAACCAGTCGAGGGGACACTCCGCAGCCAGACAAACCTGTTCTGGTGGATGGCTGATTTGAAGGGTGGAAGCATATTCACCAGAAGCAGCAAGATTTTCTGTGCTTCTTCTAGGATCCCACGGGTATGAGATCCCATGGCTCTGAGCTGGGATTCCTTTGAGGCACGGAAGCGAGTTCTGCAGGAAATGGCAGGGCTTGATTTACAAGTGGTATCTGACAGAGCCTTTTCTGATGAATAAAGGTTGGTGATTATGCAGGCACCAGGTACTTGAAAGGACCTGCACCCATCCACACACTGGGCAGGCAAGGAATACAACCATGACAGGGAGAGATTTTGTATAAAGGGGAGCAGAACAAGGAGGTTTCAAAACCCCAAAGTTCTTCAAAGCAGGAGCTTGTCAAGTCACATAAAATAGGAAATAGAGCATGAAACAAAAGCTTTGACAACTCTCAGGGGTTCTTTCTGACTTGATGGTCACATCCAGATGGAGTCCAGCTCTCCTGATTCCATTCACACGCAGGGAGGTGGCTGTGCCTGAGCTCCTGTCTGTCTTCTTGTCTCCTTCTGCCCAGCTGTGCTGACTGTGTACAGGATGCCACAGAGACAGACTGGTGGCTGGTGGCTGAGACAAGAGGTTAGTGCCAGGCTGCCCAGCAGCAGGAGTGGACTGTATACACTGGGTGGGGTTTGAAGGCAGGAGTGAAGCGCACTGCACAGTCCCCCCCTCTCAGTAGCCTGTGACCCCAGCATGGGCTGCAGAGGGGACTCCCTCACCCTGTGCCTTCCAATCCTGTGAGTGGCCTAGCCCTGGCCTTTGGGTTGTTGTATCTGGTTACTTCACTGCTGCCAGTGCTCTCTCTGTTGTCCCAAAACTGGGTTCTTCCATTCTATGTGCAAGAAGCTGATCTACACATAGAGTCAAGGTAATCGATTTTATTTCATACCTACACAGAGATGGGGGCTGGGTGGTGAATCCACAAAGCTGGCACACTTTAAGCATGCCATGTGCCCATTTTTATACACTGGAATCAACAGAAATCAGCATTTCCCTACAGGCAATGATCTAAAACTCTAATAATTGTCTTTTCAATCTCTTGTTTCTGTCTAAAGATACCTTGCACACGTGTTTTATTGTTCACGATCTATGGGGAAGGGGCTTCTGTAAATAAGGGCCAATCGCAATTTATGGACAAGAATTTTACTATGCTAATGAGCACTCAGTTCATACAAAGTTGTTCTTTGGCTTTTTAGTTTGATTTAGAGTGTGGTTCTCTTGCTCTTCAATTTTTGGGTTGTGGCTCTTGGCTACTGCTGGTTTGGTTATTCACTCATCTTTCATAAATTCCTTTATTTGTCCCGTACTATACTTCGGTGATTCAATGCCTTTTTAACTTTTATCTATCTCATTGGTACATTATTTCAACAATGGGGAGCTGGATTTGAGCTGGGCGCCTGACTCTGCATCATGGCTGGTGTACAGCCGGGCCCACCCAGCTCCTGCTGCGTTGAGAGAACTCCGAGATTTCATGATGCGTTTCCAAGTGCGGGTGTACGACGGGGCGTGAGACCCCTCTGGTACCGAGGTCCCAGCACCAGAGGCTGGGGGTCCCGGCAGACACATCCCAGGGCAGCCGCAGAATGACGGCCGCTGCGGAGCAGGGATCTGGCCGCGGGGGAAGCGCTGCGTTGGCCGGAGCCCGCGGGGCCGGGGGCGTCAAATCCTGCGGACCCCGGGGGCCGAGCTCGGGAAGGTCCCGGCGGCTCCGAGAACAGGCGGGGATCGCGCTACAGCCCCGACCAGTCCCGCTCCCGGGAGCGGCGGGGAGGGGGCTCCGGGGGTGGGACGGCACCTCTGGCTCCGCCCGCTCCCGCTGGGTCCAGAGCCGGCCACAGCGGCCTTCCTGCGCCATGGAGCCGCCCGAGGAGGTGCGGGCGCGGCTGGAGCGATGCGGGCAGGGCCACCTCCTGCGGTTCTGGGCCGAGCTGGGTCCCGAGCAGCGCAGAGCGCTGCTGGCGGCGCTGCCGCCCGGGCTGGGCGAGCACTGCCGGCTGGCGGCGGCGGCCGGGGCCCGCCAGCGCGGCCCATCCGAGCGCCTGGACGGCCGGATGGAGCCACTCCTCGCCGAGCTTCTGGGCAGCGCTCGCCGCAGCGGCCCCGCCGCCCTGCAGCGCTGGGAGGCGGAAGGTGAGCGAGGCGCGGGGCCGCCTGTCCCTCCGTCCCGGGCCGGCGGTGTCCGAAGCACCGAGGCCCGGCCCGGCCGGGGCGGTGGCTGGCGGGGTCCCCGGGCAGGAGCCGCCTTCTGCGGAGGCACCGCGGGGCTCCGGGCAGTCCGCCCCGTGCTGCCGGAGGGCGGTGTCCGGCGGCGGGGGCAGGTGGGAGCCACAGGGACGGCGAGGCGGGCAGGGAGGCGGAGAGCTGGGTCACGGCTGCACCCCGGCCCTGAGCGCCGGCAGCCGATGCTCCTCGGCCGGCGGCACTTGGGCTGAGACACCGAGATTTCACTCTGCGCTGTGAAACGCAGGGGGCCGAGGCAAGTACTAAGGCCGTGCCTGGCGGGGGCTGGTGAAGCTCTCTACAACTCCCTGAGTGGCACTTGTAGGCAGGGTGGGGAGTGCTGTTTCTCCTCCCAGCTAACAAAGGATGGCACAAGAGGGAACGGCCTCAAGTTGTGCCGAGGGAAGGTTCAGGCTGAATACTGGGGAAAATTTCTTCACAGAAAAGGAGGTCAGGCATTGGCACAGGCTGCCCAGGGCAGTCATGGTGTCACTATCCCTGGAACTGTTCAAAAAACAAGTGGACATGGTACTTCATGGTATTGTTTAGAGGGCATTGGGGGTACCTGTCATGAAAAATATGTAGTACTAAAGCACTCAAAGGGGCTTCAAGAGAGCTGGAGAGGGACTTGGGACAAGGGACTGGAGGGGCAGGACAAGGGGGAATGGCTTCACACTGCCAGAGGGCAGGGTTAGATTAGATATTACAAAGAAATTCTTCCCTGTGAGAGTGGGGAGGCCCTGGCACAGGTTGCCCAGAGCAGCTGTAGCTGCCCCACCCCTGTAAGTGTCCAAGGCCAGGTTGGATGGGCCTTGGAGCAACCTGGGATAAGTGGAAGGTGTCCCTGCCTGTGGCGGGGGTTTGAACAATATGAGTTTTAAAGTACATTCCAACCCAAACCATTCTATGACTTTGTAAGCCCCTGGGGAGGGTTTTCATTGCTGCTGAGCTGAGTTGCTGCCTCGGGGTGAGCTCCTAGCACACTGACAGGTGCAGAGACCAGTCTCAGGTTGGTACTGTTCCTGATCCACACAGAGCCATGAGTGGCAGGAGGGTGATGGGATCTGAGAGCAGAGTGGATGGAGAGTGTGAAAGAAGCCCAGGAAAGCCCCATTATCCATGGGTTTTGGAGCCTGGTAGATGCAGGTGGCTTTCCCTAGTCATTGTGTGGGTGTGTGAAAGCTGGGAGTGATGGGGGAGACCGTGTCTGGATGGGGGGAATGTGCTTCCCCCACAGCACGCAGGTCGTACATGGATGTCCTCTGCTTTTTTCTAAGTGCACACTCTATTTTAGTTATTTACAAAGAGCCATATGTGTCTTGCACCTTCTTTATAAAATATAACACCACTATTAAAAAAAATCATAATAAAAATACAGCCAGAAAAAACCAGCTGTGGTTGCAGAGATACTTGACTAAATTTTGGCAGGTGGCTGCACAGCCTTGACCCAACCTTACCAGCAAAGAGGTGGGGATGTGTGGGCAGGGGAGTCAAAATTTCTGATCAGAAACAGAAATAGGAGCATCATGGTCACAGGGTAGAATAGATTTTCTGCCGTGTCAAACTCCACGTTCAGGGCTGAGTGGTGGTGGAGGGAAGATCAGCTGAAACAGTGAATCACACAATGGTTTGGGTTGGTATGGACTTTAAAGCTCTTGTCATTCCAACCCCCTGCCACAGGCAGGGACACCTTCCACTTATCCCAGGTTGCTCCAAGGCCCATCCAACCTGGCCTTGGACACTTCCAGGGGTGGGGCAGCTGCAGCTGCTCTGGGTAACCTGTGCCAGGGCCCCCCACCCTCACAGGGAAGAATTTCTTTGTAATATCTAATCTAACCCTGCCCTCTGGCAGTGTGAAGCCATTCCCCCTTGTCCTCCAGTCCCTTGTCCCCAGTCCCTCTCCAGCTCTCTTGAAGCCCCTTTAGGCCCTGGAAGGGGCTCTCAGGTGTCCTTGGAGCCTTCTCTTCTCCAGGTGAACCCCCCCAGCTCTCCCAGCCTGGCTCCAGAGCAGAGGGGCTCCAGCTACCAGAACATCTCTTTGACCTCCTCTGGACTTGTTCCATCTGCTCCACACCTCCCTTGTCTTGGTGCCCCCAGGGTTGGAGGCAGCACTGCAGGTGGAGTCTCACCTGAGCAGGACAGAGGGACCGAATCACTCCCTCACTTGCTCCCCACACTGTTGGATGAGCCCAAGACACGGAGGGTTTCTGGGATGCCAGTGCACGTGGCTGGGACATGTTGAGCTTCTCATCCATCCATACCCCGAAGTCCATCTCAGCAGGGCTGTTTGGGGGTGTCATGGTGAGGAGGAAGAAACCCCCTTAGCCCTAGAGGTAGATGGGGCTTGGGTCAGGGCTGTGAGGTTAAATTAATAGTTTTACCAGACTGGGTCATTTGACTTCCACCCTGCCACACTAGTGAGGATCTGGTATGTCTGCCTTCTGCTGCTGGCTGCAGCACAGAAAGGAAGGGAAGGCCAGGCCACCTGCTTGCAGGAGCCCAGGTCTGGTGTGTTTAAGACCCTGCCACTGTGCCCATGAAGTCCGATGGCTCCAGGCCACCTCAGCCCTGCAGGCAGCCTGAATTTCCACCAGAAGGGGTACACACAGAGTTTCTGTTTCCTGTTTGGTTTGTTTTTATGATCCAGTTTAATCTGGAGAGGCTACCTGCCCTCGGTTTTATTTCCTGGAGGATGGCAGTCAGGAGCAAGACTTTATGCTGCTGAATCTGGGTGTTGCTGCATGTCCCCCCAGATTAGCCTTGTCCCCAGCAGCGTCCCTGTGCCCCTGTATGGCATTTCCTGGTGGAGCTGGTGTCATGGGCACAGGCTTTGGAGGATCATGGGTCACTGAGAGGATGTAGTTCTGAAAGACCCTTGTTTGCAGTGAGCTGCTTGTGGTATTGAGCAGGATGGCAGCAGATGAGATGTCCTGACCTTCTACACAGCGTCCCCGAGGCTGCATGGCTGGGTCAGCTTGGGGCTGTGAGGTCGTGGCCACCCCTGAGCTGAGTGCTCTGTGCTCTGGCCACGTGTGTCTGAGTTCTCACCTGCATTGTGTCCCACAAAGATTAACAGCTGAAGTGATGTCTCCTCCTTCCCTCTCCCCCTTTTTCTGTGATGAAAAGTGATGGTTAAAATAACCAGACAACTCAAAACTTATCTTGGGAACACCTGAGATATTTTTTAATAGTTAAAAAAATAATGCCACTGTTCTTGTCTATGAGATGATAAAACAGCCTGGTCAGATTTGCTTTCAGATCTTAAACACCAACATTTAGCAATCATGTTTTCCAGGCAGCCCTAATGATGATGGTATAAATCAAGCACAGACACTTTTACGTTCTGTCAGTGTTTTATTAATGAAATCTAAGCCTTGCCCATGGGCTGTGGTGTAGCCCCATTTCATCAGAGGGTTTGATGAACCATTCTGGTTATCTGACTGCTTTGCAGAATTGAAAACTTTGAGTTTTCTTCTCTTGCTGACTGCTCTTGTAATGGGGCTGATGTGCCTATTCAGCAAGAGAGAATTCTGTCTACTCTTGCAAGACCACTCTATTCCTCCTGCAAAATCTATTTTTGTTTTTTCCTTTCTGTGCAGAATAGGACTGACTGCAGCATTGGTGAGTATCTCAGCAGCCAACACATCTTCCCTTTTCTGTTCGGTTAACTGTTTGTATTCCATATGCTTCAGAAAATAAGGTGGTTTTTTTTTAAGTGGATATATCTTTTCATTTATTCCAGGATTGTACAGTAAGATAAGTCAGTTCTTATGAATTTTAGTTGTGAACATTGGTAGTTTTACATTTGGGAAATCACAGCAGAGCTGCTTACTCAAATTTTGGGGATATTTGTTTTCATGGTGACCTAAGATGAGAACTTGGAGAAAAACTCTCTGGGTTGTAGAGTTGCACCATAAATACTGGGAAGGAGTGCCCTACTGGGTTGTTCATATGTGCCCATGGTCAGTTCCTTTCTGGAAGATGGCCCAGTCAGCCTGATGGATTGTGGCAAGAGAAGAAGAGTGACACTGTTGATGTCATCAGTAATATTGCATTGGGTCTGGGTTCATCCTGCTGAGGTTGAGGTTTCAGTCCCCACAGTGAGAGGCCCCTCTGGGAGAGGGGTGAGATGTTAGATCCCCCTTGGGCAGATCCCATCCTCTTGTCACTGCATGGAGAACTGCCATCTCCCCGGGACATCCACATTTCAGTGAGGTGACACCAGCTGTGGCACCCGCAAGCCATAGCTGAGCATCGCTGCCACTTGATGCTGCAGGACAAAGTGGGGACCTTGCCAATTTTCCCAATACAGTGTTCACTCCAGAGCATCACGAGTCATGCCCTTGGTTGTGGTCTTTGCTCTGCAGAAACCTCTAATTTGAGATCCATGGGATGTGGTCCATTGCAGCAGAACCCAAGTGTGCTTGTTGGTGTGAGCCCTGCAGTGCTAGGAAGAGATAGAGAACCTGACTTGCTCTACTGTTGGGTGAATCTTAATTGCACCCCAAAGTAGCACCCCAGAGTAGCACCCCCTGTGCTGCAGCAACGGAGACCAGAAGATGCTGAGTTCAGACCCCAATCAACTTTGGTTTAAATCAGTGTGAAATACTTAAGCAATTTCAGTTCTGGATTATTTTTAATGATTAAATAAATTAAAAATATTTTAATTGCTCATCTCATAGAATCACAGAATGGTTTGGGTTGGAAGGCACCTTAAAAATCATCTTGTTCTAACTGTCCTGTCATGGGCATGGACACTAGATCAGGTGTCTCAGGGCCCTGTTCATCCTGGCCTCGAACACTTCCAGGGATGGGGCAGAACAGTTTGGAAGTGTCCCACAGGGCAACTTTTTAGATTTTTTTTTAATTAATTTTTTTCCTCTGTAAATTCTCTGCACTGCATCCCGCTGGGATACAGCCCCAAGCGAAGGCATGGGGAAGCTTGGAGCCATGCTCCTGTGTCCCTCTGCTTGACCCCTTCCCTTTTCCCATGATGGTGCCCTGCACTGGCAAACAACCTGGTGAGCACACAGGAAAACCATGTGCTAGGAGTGGAGTGAGTACTCGAGGTGTCATGAGTACCCAAGACCCTCTGCTCTGTGCTTTGGGTCTCTTGCATGGGGCAGTTCAGTGGAGGCCCGAAGGAGCGTTAATTGCTTGTGGTTTGTTGAATGAAGTGCTGGTTGGTTTATTTGCATTGCCATGCAGCTTACCCAGATCGTCTGTGTCTTTTACATTGTAAGTTTAAATATCTTCAAGGTTCCCCTGCTATTCAGGGACCTCCTGAAACTCTGAAATCCCAAGACTTCCACCATCAGCATAGGTTTCTCCCTAGAGAGCTCTCCTGATACCACTTGGAGGGGGAGGGTGGAATGCAGATCCCCAGAGGTGCCTTCCAACCCTCACTCCTGTGGCCCTGTGATGCCAGAGGCTGCTCTGCAGCAGAGCCATGGCCAGGATGTGGAACCAGGTCCCTTCAGTGTGCTTGGGCATCACTAGCTTTTTGGGAACAGGTGTGTTTGGGCAGAAACATTGTGTTACTGCTGTGGTGGGACTGAAACTTGTAAGCGTGGGTGAGTGGCAGGAATATTGTTACTGCAATGTCATGGACAACTTAAGTTTTGTTTTATTGCTGAAAACTAGATTTCTGAACAGAATTAAAACCAAACCATGCTGTTACAGCAGCAATTGGTATTTCTCCTCTATTGCTCATTTAAACAGCCAGTTACTTAAAGCATAAAGCCAATCCTGTTTTTCTTCTAATTCAGTCTTTTTGGTCCCTGTGTCTTTCAGGTAAATCAAGAATGTTTTGGCCCCAGCTGTGGTTGATGTGGGGTGTTTGCTGGATGCTGGGGTGAAGCACGGGCTGTCCTGGGCTGCAGGAGCAGTGGCAGCTCATTGGTGTGCAGTTGCACAAGGCCCTGATAGCCACTGCAGCAGAGCTGTGGCTTCTGACCTGGGCAGGCCCAGCGCTCCTTGCATTCCCAGAAGAACGTAAAGTGTTGCCTAAGGAAAAATCTTGCTCATGTCATGATGTCAGTCATTACTGTGATATTGGCTTGGGAGAAGGCAGGGAACAAAGTCTAAGAGTGAGCTGGATGTTTTTTATGTTCTCTGCTTCTTCCTTAGGTTCTGGACTTCCTTGGTTTGCCATGAGCAATGATACTGGCTTTAATTAGGTTATGGGAGATGTGGCTCCTGCAGGCTTGGCTGTGTTGTTAGTCCTGACTGCAGCTGTGTTCAGTTTCTATTTAAGCTGGAGCACAGGTAGAGAGAGTTGATTAAGGCAGATTCCATAAATGCCCATGCTTTACTGAAGATGATGAGACTTGGCTTCTTTGGGATGTAGAAATGTTGGTGATAAGGGACCTCTGGAGGTCTCTAGCCCAACCCCCGTCTGAAACAGGACCGTATGCCAGGCCAGCTGCAGCTTTGCCAAAGTAAGCCTTGAAAACTTTAAGGGCCAGCCCCCACCTCTTTGGATATCTTTTCCAGTGCTGCACCACCTCCCTAGTAAAGACTTTGTATCCTAATGTACAGTTTGAATCTCCTAAACTGCAGCTCATGGCTGTTGCCTGTTGTACCATCTCCTGCTTCAGGTAAGGAAACTGCTGCATGCAGGAGTTGAAATGTATTTTCTCTTGTGTGTGCAGTGTTGTATTTCTCTTTGAGCTGACAACATTGAACTGGCAGCTTCTAGCTGTTGCTTGAGCTCTGCAGAAAGGCTCAGGAGAAGAGCATGTGGTGTTGGTTGCTTCGGAGGTTCTTATGTTCCCTTGGGCTTCTTTCTTCTGTTCAGGCTTGTATCAGATCTCGAAGAACAAGGTGGCAGTGCTACTCCTGGCTGGAGGGCAAGGAACCCGCCTGGGAGTGAGCTATCCCAAGGGCATGTACAACGTGGGGTTGCCCAGTGGCAAGAGCTTGTACCAGATTCAAGCAGAAAGAATCCGCAAAGTGGAGCAGCTCGCTGGCCAGAGACATCACTGCAAGTGTGCCATCCCCTGGTAGGTGACCCAAAGCCAGACCTCCTGGTCATGGCTTTCTGCATTCCAGTCTTGCCTGTGTTGTCTTCTAGGAGCACTGAGCTGGGTGCTGCACAGAGACAGGCCAGGGGAGAGGCTTTTGTCGACAGGATTTGCAGTGCCAGTGGCTGGAGGAAGGTGCCCAGGGATGGGAGGTGGCAGGTCTGTGTCTGCAAACCTGAGGGGTCAAGTGCTGCCCTTGCATCACTGACCATGACCCTGACTGCTGCACCTTGCTGGTTTTCTGAGCACAGGCCCCGACAACACTATAAACAGCACTTTTCAGTGATTGTTTTGGATGCTTCACAAGAAATTTCATCCATTTCTGCTTCCTCAGATTCCTTCATGGAGGACGTAGAGCTCACTTTCCAAGCCTCTCTGCCCATAATCTCTGCCACAGCAAAAAACCTTTTTGTTCAGGCCACCTCCTACTGTTGCTGTTCACAGTTACTAATTCTGCTGGCTGCTCCTGGCTTTCAAAAGAGACTAGCTCTGGGCAGAGTACAAAATGTGAATTCCCTATGGGATGTGGGGGTGAGAGGAAGGCACTGGGATGTTTCTGGGAATCATTTCTGCTAAGTGTTCTTTGTTAGACTATTATGTGAAGTGAGAGCCTTATGGAATCAGTGTCTGGTCTGAGGCAGGGTTTGGGCAGAGTTAAAGAGCAGGGTTTGGGCAGAGTATGAGGGCTTCAGGGTACCACACTGTTTTACAAATTGGGAAATCAAAGATGATTCATATATTGTTTCTTCATGGAAGGTGAGTCCATATTGTGCTTCTTCCTGAAGCCTTGCATGCAGGACATGAATTGCAAATGCACCATCCCTGGTGCTACTGGAAGCCAGGATGGATTATTTGCAAGATGCTACATCTACTGATAATGTTTCCAGTTCCTTTGCCAGGGCTGCAGAGGCAGTTGAGGCAGTTCACTGCTGCCATACACCTGAGCCCAGGCTATGCTGTGCTGCAGAGGTGTAAACTGGGGGACTGTGAGGTCCAGGCTCTCCTGGGCCAGGGATTGATTCCGCTATCATGCTGGCAGAGAACCCTGTATTCCTGTGCCAGTGGTTGTTGAAGAGCTCGACAGGAAGATGATGAAGATGGCTTTTAGCCCCTGGTGAAGGACGATAGTGGAGGGAGAGACAGGAGCTGAAAGGAGAGGAGGAAATAAAAAAAACTTAAGAGAAAACCAGACCATGTAGCCAGCATACGGAAGTGCTGCTGTTTGCCTTGGCACTGAAGAGGTGCTGGCAGGCTGAACCGCTCAGTGTTTCTTAAGGCACCTAAAATCAGCCTGAATCTAGGGTGAACGAGGCTGTTGTCTGCCCTTTGCCTTGTTTTCCAACTCATCCAGATATCCAGATGTTGCTCACATTTAGGGCAAGGCTCTCCTGTCCTGACTGGAGCTAAGCCTGTAGGTAGGATCATGCACAGGACCCCGTGCAGCCTTCCTGTGGGATGAGTTCTGAAGGAGAGCTCTCGTGCACAGTTGCTCAGCACAGGATGCTGCAGTGTCTCATTTCACACTCGTGGGGAACACTTTTGTGTTCATTTCACACTCGTGGGGAACACTTTTGTGTTCCATTTATAGTTTTGTCTTTTACTTGTGCTGTTCTTGCTCATTGCCCAGCCCCATTCCTGCCTAGGTACATCATGACAAGTGAGTTCACACTGGGGCCGACGGAAGAGTTTTTTGTACAACACAACTACTTCAACTTGGATAGATCCAACGTGATCATGTTTGAACAGAGAATGCTGCCTGCTGTCACCTTTGAAGGGAAGGCCATCTTGGAGGAGAAGGGGAAAATTGCTATGGCTCCAGGTACCTGTTGTTCGCTCTTGCATGCTGCAGTACTGTCATGTGTGTTGATAGTCACTACTGGCCATCAGCCAGCCAGGGCACAGGCTTTGGGGCTTAGGGTTAATGCTTCCAGTTAGTGTGGGAGGATTAAATGTTTCAGGCTGGTAATCAGGAGGGTAGCTATCATTGTTTAGTTCTTGCTGGAGATTTTGCCTACAGCACGTGTTTTTTATCAGTCTGGGAGTATTGGCAGGGTTAGGAGTGGTGTGGCTGCAGGTTAGGAAAAAGGTGCATCAGCAGAGATGTGTGAGGTCCCTGGGGTGAAGATGTCAGGAGCTGGGCTTCCGCTCAAGGTTAATAGCTGAAAGTGGGTAAAAAAGCAGCAAGAAGATTAACTCTTTCCAAAATGAGAGCAGTGTCTCACCTTGTAAAGTTCTCCTCTTAACCTGGAGATGATAAGAGACTTGGTGAAGGCAGCCTGGTTGGGATGGTGTTGCAGGGATGGGGTGTTGCAGCTGACAGCAGTATCCAAGGAAGAACTGTAAATGGGTGATCTGTGATGAACAAACATGCAGGTGTCTTTTGTGCAGCTGCAGTTCAAGCCTTTAAAAAAGCACTAGGAACTTGTGGGGAGATGATAAACAGAGAATAAGATTTATTTTAGTCTTTCTCAAAGATGAGTTTCAAATACACTTTTGTCCTGCGCTGCGGGAGAAATTTAGCAGACTTTTCCCACCCTCTGCATAACATTTTGCCTTTTAGTGTTCTCCCTCTGAGGATCTTACTAGCCTTCATAGAGTCTCGTAATGCTGCTCAGTGAGGCTGGTCCCCATGGTCCCACTTTGCAGGTGGGATGAGCTGGGGTGAGGAGATAAACATGCTCACCTGAACTGCTTTGCAGAGCTGGAAATAAAATCTGGTAACACTGACTCTTGGCTAGAAAGCATTCCCTGCTCTGCTGTTCAAGAAAGTCTGTTCAGGACTTTCTGCTTTTGCTCTGTTAGCTGCAAAAAAACCCAGCCCAAAGTCACTAATGAGCCACGGCATTCTCTTTTCTCTTGCATTATAGATGGTAATGGTGGCTTATACCGTGCTTTGATGGATAATAAGATCTTGGATGACATGAAGCAGCGTGGAATCCAGTATGTCCATGTATATTGTGTGGACAATATCCTCGTGAAAATGGCAGATCCGGTCTTCATAGGTTTCTGTGTTTCCAAAGGGGCAGACTGCGGTGCAAAGGTGAAGCAGTGCTAACGCTAGGCTGGTTTCCCTCAGGGAGTTAGGCTCTCATTACACTTGGAAGCTGCTGGCTGGGGGGAGCTGACGTGACCTGGGATGTTCAGCCCTCTGCCCATCAGCGGCTTGTTCTGAGCAGATTTAGAGCTGTTTGTTGCCAGCATTGCATTCCAAATCCCTACCTGTGGGTGTCCTGCACTTCCCACAGTACTGTGGAAAATACACTCCAATTAGAGCAGGGACTGTATCTCTACAGGAAACTACAGACTGGAATCGCTTCCCCTCCATGCTCAGCCCTTTCTACAAAGGCACTTGGGCAGTCTAGAAGCTGTATTGGACTGGGTTGTGTTTTATAAGTGCACCTTTAAGTATAACAGAGGCATTTCTAATGCTTCCCTGTGGAAGATGAGGAAAGCCAAACCAGCCTGGATTTTTTTCATTCTAAAGCAGCAGGTGCCTGAGGAGAAGTTTATGTTACTTGAGTCATTAGCACTGCTCATGAGAACAGGGAGCTGAAGGCTAATAGCTGCAAACAGCTTTCATTTGATGCCAGATCCCAGTCCTTGATAAGAAAAGTGCCCCCCAGTAGGCTGATTGCTTTTAACTGGTTTGTCTTCTAAGAAACAGTGCAATTGAGTGGGTGAGTACTGGGGTTTATGCTCAGTTGTTGGGCAAAGTGTACCTCCAGACTGCTCTGTGCCCCTTGAACTGCCCTGCCTGTGCTCCTGAAGTGTTGGAGGTTCAGCAGGCAAGAGTCCTGTGGGATTGTTTGTATGTAAGAGTTGGAAAAGTGCTGAGATTTTCTTCCTCCTTGTCATAGCCCTTGTCCTGTGGCTGCAGGTGGTGGAGAAGGCCTACCCCACGGAGCCTGTTGGGGTGGTGTGCTGCGTGGATGGGGTGTACCAGGTGGTGGAGTACAGCGAGATTAGCCCAGAGACTGCACAGCAGCAGCGCCCCGAGGGGGGACTGATGTTCAATGCTGGCAACATCTGCAACCACTTCTTCACTGTTGATTTCCTGGAAACAGTGGCCCAGTAAGTCCCAGCAGACCTGCTAGACAGCTGTGCTGCCCAGAATTGCCTCCAAGATTGGGTGTTCCTGTTTTTTTCCTCTGTAATTTCAGTTATGAGTACCTCCTGTGCCTTTCAACTTTTCTGTCTTCCAAATGGTTCCAAAGAGCTGGCAGCCAGAAGTTTCTCACAGCCCCAGCATGTTCTTAAAGCTCTGCCCAAGGAAGAGGTTCATACCTTCCTGGGCCTGCAGAGGTGAGCAGCTGTACAGGCTGCAGTGTGGTCAGTGATGCAGCCCCACACCAAGGATTTCCAATGGGAAATGTCACCCCTGCCCATCCCTTGGGACAACAGAGTTTGCGGGAGAGGGTGAAGTTGTGGGTAGACTCCACAACGCCTTGGTGTTGGGGAATGGAGATGTGATGCTGGGCATTTAGTGAGCAGTGGTATGACCCTCCTGATCCATCCCTAGGTGAGTGATCTGCTCTGCTCCATTGTCATCCCAGTCGGATAATTTGGGTTGCCTTTTTTTTTTTTAACCTCTGCCTGCAATTTCAGCTTGAAGCAAAGTCCACCCTCTTCTCTGTCATGTCCCTGGTACAGGGAGAGCCACAGGCCAGGCTGCTCTGCTCAGTGAAGTGTTTCCTGGATATGACTGAGATCATTTGGGAGAGAGCAACACCCACAACAGCTGAGAGATGACTCAGAGCAGTAATAAGACATCTGCTTCCCACAAGTGTATTGCTTTTTTTTCCTAAGCGGGCATGAAGTAAATGAACTTGTTTCTTCTCCTTCTGCAGGAAATGTGAGCCGCAGCTGAAGCATCATGTAGCCATAAAGAAGGTGCCCTACATTGACAAGGAGGGAAATCTGGTAAAACCACTAAAACCGAACGGGATAAAGCTGGAGAAGTTTGTGTTTGATGTGTTCCAGTTCTCTAAGTTAGTGGCAGACATCATTTTACTTTTCTTCTCCCCTTCTCAATGTTTGTTTGAATGACTGTAGGTTGTAACAGGCTGTCTGAGGGAGCATGTGGGTTTTTTTTGGGTGGTGTGATGGTTCGGACTTGGCTCCTTGCCAAATGCCCCGCCCCCAGTAGCAGCACCTCTCTTCCCCCCTTTCTACTTCCCCCAGGGCAAAGGAAAAAAATGATGCAAATTGAAGAACCCAAAAACCAAGCTAGTTATATAAAAAATATATTTTATGTATATTACAGTTAAGATGCTATGTATACAGCAAATGGGAATCCAAACACCC